TATTCAGTTGTAAGAAGTCCATCACAGTGTAAGGAGCTTTTGGAAAACTTTTGGAGTTATTACAACTATACAAGATTTGGAGTTCTTTTAATCCCCGGAGTCAAGATCAGACGTAAGTCACGCTTGTAAATTTAGTAGTTTGTTTTTCCTTCTTTTTTCGTGCACGGAGCATTATCGTAGTTTTCGTTTCTTCTGACGTAAAAATCGCACGTTTCTTTCTAGTTTTCACCGCAAGTGCTGTAAATAGTCGGACTAGCATGATTTTAATAAACGCCATTGAATCTTGCTGACCGCCTAGTGCTTCATTGTGGTTGACCTGGCGAACTCCAGTGACTAACGCCACGCGTCCACGACACTGGGAACGCGACAATGCTGTCGATCGTGTTATGGCCTAGAGGAAGTGTTGAATACCAAATGACATCAGAAGACGGTTTAAATTTAGCACCAGTTAAAAGCTTCTGAAAGAGTGCTTCACATTCTGGATTTAAATGGGACAGGTAAATCTTCACTACTTCTACAGGACAGTTAGCGAGCCCTTTGCCCTCGCACACTTTACCATCAGATAGGTCGTCAGTGCCGTCTAGACCACCTTGGTGATTTTTGGTTGAAAAGACTCCTCCGGGCGTTTCTCTATTAAGCTCAAAATATTCCAGGCCGGAATTTGGGGTTTTGGAGAGCTTTAGGCTTGATTTTGTCAATTGTCGCTGGTTTTCCCTTCCTCTTCGACCAAAGTAGAGGGTTATAAAAAACCACGCTGTTTGTTGTAGCTTTTGTGGATCGAGGCACCTTGCATCTACTAGCTCGCCGGCTTCGTAGGGCTTTGAAACTGCTTCGGTTGTTAGTGCGGGTTTGTGGACTGTAGAACAAATTTGACCTGACTTGTAACCTCCGTCCTGTTTTCTTGCAGAAATATAAAATTTCCGCAAGCACTTATTTAACTCCTCCTTGTTCATCTCTTCTATATCTGTGGTAAATTCTTCTTGCTGGGAACACCAATCTACAAAGAATTTACTCATATTGTAACAAATTTTTGATGTGAAGAGTTATGAATGTCACTCAAGCTTATTGGCAGTTGTCAGCAAAATAAAACCCCAAATACTTTTTAACACTTTGGAGTCTTCTCTTACCTTTAAAAACTTTCAGTCCATACTCAGTTGCCTTTTTTGTATTCTCAGGCACAGCCTCGTCTTGTATTTGTAAAATTTCTGCTTCTGAAACTTGAGCGAAACGCGAGTTTATAACGCCCGCCATTTTGTTTTTGCTTTCAAGATCACGAATTACGCATTATCCACTCGCTCGGAGGTGAATATTGTTGAATAGCCCGAGATAACGAACCAATCAGATTGCTTAAAGCACCAAGATCACTGAGTGTGTATATACTAAATAGGGGTATACAGGGTATACAGTATTATTAGGGTAAACATAAGTTATATAGTGGTATACAAGGTATAAGAGATAACATATCAGGGAGTCTATATGGAGACTGCCATGAATTATATTGCCGTCGGCGGGTTCACTACGGTACAGAAACGCTTACCTGACTTAGAACCCCGTCACCTTTCCGATGCTTTCAGTC